ATTATGACAGAAATAATATTACCGATCATTCAAGACAGAAATAACACGCAATCTTCGAGAATACCGCATCAGAAGCAGCCATCCACCACAGCAGACACAACCAAAGACAGGAAACAACAACTTGTCCCTCCAGCAGAGTCTGGAACAGCTGGACGAACTCTTGGCAGATTTGGTTGTCGGGCCTGTTTTGTAAAACGTGAAATACGATGAAATCTACCTTTAACGAACCTTCGCGCATGCGTGTGGCGCGTGTCTCCTCGTGATGACAGCGAATGACAGCAGCACAGTTCGCTCCTGCAGCAGACCCAGTGTGAGACGGCTAGCCGCCAACAAACTGCCCCTCTGACTCGACTCATCCTCGGATCGGCTGCGTTTGGAGAACCCGCGAACAACCAGCACACGACAATTACGCTCGGTGAGTTGTCCAATTCAAGTTAGCGCGTTTTATTCCATCGCATTCGGCCACTCGGGAGCTTGCAGCCAAAAGCTAAGCTAACGTAGCTAACTAGCTTGTCGTTAGCTTACCCGTCTCGACTAGCAAAGGTTAGCCGAGTGCAACTTGGGTAGGGTTAGCAGCCGACTGCTAGTTTAGTTTAGCTCACCAGTGTGTTGTGGAGCGCTCGAATCAGTGCCAACACAGTGCAAACACTTATTCGCTGATGCCATTACGACGGCTGGGTGTCTAGTGTCAGTTTCCATCTTAGCCTTTAGCTGACCCAACGACAGTCACACGGGGTATTAGATATGACCATCAGTGCGTCCGAGCCCCCTCGATGTAACGACCAAACCACAACACGCATTCACTTAACCTCTCTCATTTCTTGGCTTTCATCCTGTCCGGACACTCCACCATCAAGTCCTTGGTGGTGCACATTAGCAGCACATTAAACTCAGCTTTTGTGGCGAAAGTACCCCCACCCCACCCAGCGAGCCGCTGAAAGGAATGTCTCAAGTGTTCCCTAACAACACAAGCATTCACATCTAGTGGCTGTAAGCCCTGAGATATAATAACATACCGTTTAAATGGCATGAATGTCCAAACACTGGTTGTTACTGACAACTGTTTTTAGCATAGATGAATAATATTCTCATTTTGTCCAATATTTCTGAAGTAATCTGGCAAAAATAAGTCAAATGTGAGGCTTTGCTGCTTTTCTCTACTTGATGTCACCATAAATATTGGTTGTGTTTGGCTAAACAGATTAGGCAAACACCCACAGAGTATCTTAACACAACATCTAAATGCTAAACAATGATAAAGAGGCTTGATTACAAAGCAAGTCATTACATCTCAGTTTAGTCTCTCGTCAGTAATATTTTCTCCCCCGCTGAGTAGACAAATGCTGACACATTATATTCAAGTAATCTGCGTTGTATTAGTCAGTACTCTGGTTCTGTCACCTGATTTTTTTATGATTAATGTTAATCATGAGATTCAGTCTGAGTGAAAAAGACTTGACTGTGTTGCTGGAAAATCAGGTTTATTTCCTGGTTTGAGTGGAATGATTTTTAAGCTCAGGTTTGATGTCACCCACGTCTTTGCTTTGTTGTTAGATTTACAATATTTCCCGGCAGTTTCCTTGTCAGGATGCAAGGTAATGAAACATTTGCAGATAACAGACAAGAGACTGACGCAGCTGAAAACGCAAACATTTTATATTCATGCTCTACTTTGATCTACTCTGTTCTTTCCTTCACCTGATGCTCAGTGTAAATGTGATAAAGTCATTGCTTCTTTATTTCCTTCCGTGTTCTCAGATGATTGGGTCTACCTGAACAGTTATAGATATCTCTAAAGCAGTTTTAAGACATGAGTTCTGAAAAATGTCCAGACCCAATTTTCTGGACATTTTTTTTTCTTTGTTTTGCACATATGAAGAATGTAGAAGGAGATTGTCAGTCATACTTGTTAACAACAACAACAGGAACATTTCTGGAAGATTTAGGTGAGGGTGGTACCTGAGTTAAGTGTGCTGAATGCAAAAGTTTTTCTTCTGTTATGTCAACACACTCACTTGCTCACTTTTTTTTTGACATTTACCTTCTGTGTTCTTGTATGAGCCCACTCAGACTTGTGACATTCTACATGGAGGATGCCAGAAAATATCCAGAGCAAGTGACTCGAATATTAGCGTTCTCACATACAGCCCCTTATCTGAAAGCAGGTTAAATTCACCACCAGGAAGTTGCCCTCAAGACAACTGATAAAGTGTCAGTAACTGAAACTGGGTTAAATGTTTTGATACCTGGGTGTAAAGTACAAGCTGTAACATTTAACTTCAACACATGATGGACAATTTGTAAACTGTGTTCCATGTCACTGCTAAATACTGTTTATCCAAATGTTTAACATAACACCTAGTGATTAACTACATATTCAGGTTGACTGTTAGTAGGTTTAGAAACATGGATTTAGGAAGAAGCACCTGCATTGGGACACAGCATATGTGTATTTTGTGTTTATTTTTCATTTTGCCACCACTACAGCTTCTAGCGTCACAGAGAGTGAACACAGGTTAAACATTCCTGTGAGGCAATAGTGGCCTGAAAGCTTGATAGGTGCGCTTGTGTCACGTCAGGACAGATCTGGATGGGGAAAGTGAAAGAGAAGTGCTTGACTCTGCCCTATCTACTTTAACTGACTGTCAATTCAAAACATCCAACCAGAATTTAATGCTGGCTTTAACTTTTTCAGATAACTGATCTTACGAAGACGTCGTGGTTATTTCTCAAGGTTGAGTAGAAAGTGTCACCTGTAAACCTCACGTGTGTGGAGCACAGCATATTGCTGAGCAGTGTAAGAAATTATCTAGAAGGGAAGCGTGAAGAGGATGTTGGCTCAGAACCATGAATACCTTCTGTAGAAAGTGAAATCCTTTTGAATATCTATAAAAAGCATGATGTGAGAGAGAGTGGGTGATTTTGTAGTGGGAGGAGTGGGCTTTGTTCTAAACACCTTAACTGTGGTGCTGCAACATTTGCATACATTTCCTTTATAAAGTAGAGTTGTTTTGTCGTTCACAACAAAAAATTATTTTCAACCCATAAACTTTTTCATGAAATATTTGCCACCTGTCTCTTATGCTGCCTTATTGTTATATTAATAGTTCTAAGTTGAATGCTTTGTTGGAAACATATATGTCAATAATTATAACAATATAATTTTCATTAATAGCAATATAACAAAAGTCCAGTGTATCCTCATAATGTTGATGCATTGTACAAGCTTAGTGAGGAGTTATAACACATATTTAACCTACCACTAATTTGTAAAATTGTTGTTTATCAAGTGTTTGTCATTGTCTACGCACATAGAACACATTAAAGCCACAACCTTCACTCAGGAGCAAGACTCACAAGTCTGAAGACCTCCCACAGGCTGTTTGGTTTTGCTTCTGCTTTAGAGTTCCTCAGTGCTCTCCATGACTGACTCGCCAGGTAGCTTCTATTTGCAGCTTGTACTGAATGAGCACTGGAGTCAATAGCAGTTAACCTCTCTGTCGCCCACTTAATGGCATAGTAGCTTTCACTTCCTTTCCGAGTATGTGAGGAATGTGCTTATGAGTGCATACGTGGAAGTGAATCCTGTGAGTACTTGTGAGCCTGTTACCTGCCAGTTCATTCAGATGTAAAATACAAACAAATAAACCTTTCTTGTTTGACTTTTTAAATGATCTATTCAGATCTGTCCAAAATAGAGATCAACATCTGTCTATAAATGAAAGATTCACAGTACTAGAAGAAGGATTTCACAGGGTTTGCTTGGTTGTAACAATTGCTATATTGAGCTGAAATTGAAATTGTTTTTTATACAACTGTTAAGTGATTGTTTCAGTTTTTGAAAATGTCAGACTTGCCCATTCTCAACCTCTTACATGTAAATATTTGTTGGTGTTCTCAGCCTCCTGTAGTCATAGTAGAAAGCAATGTGAAGACTTCACCTACCTTGGGACATTAATTGATGGACTTTTTTCTCTTTAACAGTCAGTTGATTAATACAGAAAATAATCAACCGATTGTTAGATAACGATAAGGATCACTTGCATTTGTTCAAACTTAAATCATCACCAGTCATGTCATGTG